GCTCTATTTTAAGAATTGGCTTACAAGTTTCGCTGCCAGGGTCTATGTCTCCCTGGGTACTGCCGGAACGTACCCTGGTACTATCTAATATGCCGGACCGTACCTCGCCTACTCCACTAACGAGTCTAGGGAGTCGCCTACGCCTACTCCCTAACCCTAACCATATCAGATAGTTACCAGGGTACGTTTCGGTATACCGGACCGTACCCAGGGTACGTTCTGGCAGTACCCTGGGGGAAAGACCCTATGAGCTTCACTAACTGCCATGCACCATGGCTGCCTTCCCTTCCTAATAACATTTCCAGGCAGAGTTTAGAGAGGCAGGGCACATTCTCTTACATGCTTAGAGCTTACAGTTTGTGACACGCCATGGCTTCACCTGTGCGTGTGTGCGTGCGTGCGTGCGTGCGTGCGTGCGTGCGTGCGTGCGTGCGTGTGTCTTACAAGTATTAGTAGTAGTGACTTCTCATCAAACTGCTGCGTGCATGTGTGTGAGCAACTTCCCACGAAAAAAACAGAGAGAGGGTGGGGTCTGCCTGGCTCAGATCTTAGTTATCAGCACAAGGCCACAAGCTCGTTTGCACAAGCTATCCTTTGGAACCTTTTTCTATCAACAAATAGCACTACACATACAGATTTGCTATACATTACTACACTTGCTGCCTGTGACTATAAAATATTTTCCTCTTCATTAACTATGAACAGAGACAAGTCACATAATATATACAGCATTTATTTTTACAAGACCTTTATTATTGACTACACCACTTCATAATAAACACAGCCGCAGATACGTGCATCTGTAAAACTGAAATGTCTTACACTAATAAAAGCACAATCATTTTACACTGAAGGTAGTCACTATTATTTCCAGCTATATCCAAGTATAACCACAAATTATTTAACCAGTGAAATCACATGCACGCTCTCTATATGTGCAACGTCTCATCGATAAATTTCCGAAGTCGACATCTCCAAGACTTGGACGGCATCACCACGTTGGTGGTTTGAGCTTCAAGCGCTTCATGTTCTGTGCAAAGTGACTTGGCAGATTGCAGTTGATGACCACGTTCTTCCCATCGAACACCTCGGGAATGACGATCGACTTTGCGTGGAGGTGCATCGCCACATGACGCACCTTCGCCTGTCTGATGTGCAGTCGGGTTAGCAACTCCGCAGGCAGCCTCTGAAAAATAAACACATCGCCAAATAAATTAAGGATACGGTAATAAGCACATAATACAGCACCTATGTTTTGTTAGAGACAGAAACGAAGAACGGAAGACGAAAGACACTGGGACGCAAAGTAAAATCACGAGAGCCGTTTGAAATGTAGGCAACTTATAACAACACGTATCACAGTTTCACATGCTGAACAGTGGTGTCATAAATTTCATTTTATTGAATGATTATGTAACAAAAAAGTGTTCCATAATTACGACATACCTGAGGAACCAGTTTTCCAAGGTTTGAGTATTTGTGGTCACCGAGGATAGGACAGCTAAGAGCAAATGATAGATGACAACGAATCTGGTGCTTCACCCCTACATAAAGACATAAAGACAGGTTTATTTGTTAAGCCACGATTATGTGCCGGCTTAAGTATCAGTTTATTAGCTCAGCTGACGAAGTCGGAATGACAATTTAATTCCCAAAATTCACGAACCTGTGACGGGTTGCACTTCCACTAAGGCAGCCTTACTGCTACTGTCAAGCACTCTGTATTCGGTTAGGGCCGCATGTGTGCGCACATAACTGTGCTGCATAACTGCCCTCTTTTCCTCATCCCATTCCGGCTTCAACGTCATCTGTTAAAAGAAAATTCGGCAAAATTAACTTCAATTAAAGGTATGTTAGTTACTATACAGGAGCGTAGCTAACCCATTTTGTCTAGGGCGGGGGCAAAGCCACGTGTGTGGTGTGTTCTAGGGAAGGTGACCGCCACTGACCATGTATTATATCTACTTTTTTCTAGGGGGGCAATTACCCCCTTGCACCCCGCTAGCTACTGCCCTGCTATAGTAGCGCAAGTATGCGAAAATAGCATTTACATAGGTTCTGTTTTTCTCTTAATGATGCTAGTATGGTGTCAATATGTTCTTACCCTGAACTTCCCGTCCACAGTTCCCTCAGCCATCGGTATGTTAATGATGCCCTCACGGGGATCCGGAACACGTATCGTTATTGCCCAGTACTTCTTGATGATGTCCTTTGTCTTAAACATCTCCTGGACTCGATGCGCCATTTTTTGGGTGCTGTAGGTGGACAATAATCACAATCTAACAGATCAATCTTTGATAAATCCCTATTTAATTACAACAATTTCGTACCCAAGCAAACTCCTCAGTGGGTAGGGTAATACATTGTGATGTATAACCGAGTTTGCCGACCATTGCCGATGATAATGATAACCGAGTAATGGCAAAGGAATCTTTCGTAATTCAAGAAGTATTAAACTATTTCAACAAATAAATATACGATATAATGGATCAAGCTGAACAGACTATTTTGTTCTGATATATAATACATAAATTTTAGTATTATTTACATTGATCAAGTTTTCTATTTTACTTTTCACCATAATCTGAAAGAGGATGTGTATTAATTAACATATCAAAAGGGTATATAGAAGACAGGCATTTGGTTCAAAGTTACATCACAAAGCAACCCTTACGTGGCGCAAACCAAAACTCCAGTGCAATTCTGGTCTAACCGATGTAGGAGATAGAGTTGATCGATAATGCCACGACCACTATCCAACTTTTTGGCGATGCGAGGCAAGTACTTATCAACGCTGTGGTGAACTCCTTTTCCACCTAAATTTGAGAAAAAAACAGATATTGTTCAGCAAGGGCTAACTCCAAAGGCGGTTAGCATTTGAGAAGTCATTGTTTATCTTAAACGTAAACACAGCGTAACCATTTATCATCAACTCACCATGAACGGGAATGCCATACGGTTTGTTGAACGCAACTATTTCATCTGGAAACACAAATTGTTGGCAACATTATTAACAGTGCTATTTCATTGAAATTTTGGATAGATCTTGGATTATGACCTCAAGTAAAGATATTGCTATGATGAAAACAAGAAATGAATGAATCAGCAGTGCAAGGGGATAGGTGTGCTGCATATGCACTATGTAACCCATTATGTATAACATGAACATATCTAAAGAAGCTCCTTTATAGAAGATAGATAGATAGATAGATAGATAATAGGTTTATAGCCCGTATGAGTAACTTCTTAGGGACAATGACAGATGCTTTTACATGAGCACTAGCCAACTAGAACACAATTTAAACGTTGATGGAATATGGATGATGGATCAATAAAAAAAGATTATTCGGCTGTAATGATCAGATGTCTGATCAAATGAAAACTTAGAATCTGACGAGTTTGGGATATCTGTGGACCTACTGTCATTGTAAAGAATATTTGACCACAGCTTTCTGTAAACATCATCTTCCGAAAGCCATGTCAAATCTTGTACTTGATTGGTCAAAATATTGAAGCCCTTGCTATCAAGTTTTTCTTTACCAACATACTTCACACCATCAGGAATATCTGCGAAAACACAATTCATGAATTAACATCGATGCAAAATTAGAGTTAAAGTAAGCAGGACCAATCCGTGTGTAGATATATCTATGTTGTGTATCGATGAAGAAGCATTTGACTGGACCAATTTCTTGTGAAATTTAAGCTCTAAGTAATGTTTTTATTTACCTTGTCCTAATATTTGCTGCTTCTGGCTACCTTTTTGATGTTTTAGCTCAGATCTTACTTTCATTGCCATATCAAAGGCTGTTTTGGGATTTTCAAGGTCAGGCTTAGGTCGTAACCTTCTTCTGAGCTCTTCTTTTGTTAAAGCTGGCGTCAGGATGGTTTCCGCCTGCAAACAACATTATTAATATCGAATAAATGTAAAATTTTATGTCACAATATTATGCACACGAGTTTAAGTGTAGCAGCTATACTAAATCTAATATCCTGAATTTGCTTCATTTGACTTAGCAATTTGGAACTTTCATAACGGTTGAAATAATGAAGAACTTTGTATTTTTGCATACGCATTAAATATCACGTGTGATCAGGGCCACCAATCTCAATGCTTCTATAATCATTATTAATGTTATTTGCTTTAGGTTGTTTCATTTTACTAGTATGTCCTGTACTCAAATTCACTATTACTTTCTCATCGAGATTTCTTGCTGCCAATTCGGTTTGGTTATGCTGCTGATCAGTCACGTCAGTATTATTGATCTCAGTGGGACTGTCTGAGTACAGTTTGTTAAATGATCCAGCTTCTTCCCCTGCCGAGGTTTCTTCTGCACTGAAATGTCTTTCTGCAAATTTCCGGTCACTTGCAACTCGTGACTCCCTGCCATTGAAGTCATAACTGTCACACTGGCTATTCGATTCAGTCTTTCTGGTCATCGCCGTTCCTACCATGCCAAAGTACTGTTCATCAAACAGGTTGCCATCTTCAGCCACATCGTTTTTTTGCATAGCAGTTTCAGCGAAATGGTTTGTATGGTCATTGCAGCTGCTGACTTCAGGTTGGTTTTCCACCTGCCGTGTTGAAGGCTCATAAGCAAAGTAATATTCATCAATCGGGTTCAAATCTTTCGGTTGATTTCCTTTCTCGGCTTCAGTTTCAGGTAAACTGGTTTCGTGATGTGACCAAGTGTGTTTTTCATCTGAACCTGTTGAGGGTTGGTATGCAAAGTACTGTTCATCAAGTGGGTTAAGATCTCCAGTATCCTCAGTTTTCATATTTCCATTAACTGTGTTCTCACCAACCCGAGATGTAGTTAACTCTGCTGACATTGTGAGTGGTGACATGTTTGTATCTTCTGTCGTGGCTTCAGTTTTATCTCCGCCTGAATATGACTGCCTAACGTCAGTACATTCTGTAACACGGCGTCTTGATGAAACCTGGTTATCGCTGTCATATCTCACATAGCCAAAAGATGTTTTATACACTTTCTGGTCTTCAGCGCCAGGCTCGGCGTCACGTTGTAGGCCTAATTTTTGACGCAACCTCTCTGCAAGGCTCGATGTGTTCTGCAGTGTGCTTCTAGTCGATTCTTGATTCTCTTCGTGCGCGACACGCACACTTTCAAACTGCGTAATTCCGAAGAAATCTTCTTCGACTTGATTAGGGTTACGGTCCACGGTGTTCTGTTGGGTTGGTGTTGGAGAATTACGCCGTGAAGTTGAACGTTTCCAAATGTATCGACCAGTCCGCCGATTGAATCCACTATCATGCTCTTGGTTTTGTTCGCTTCCGCGGATTGCATCTGAACTTGCACTTTTAATGCCTTCATGAAATTTATGTCTATAAATTAGCAGTAGCGGTCGCCGAAAAATACGCCTTTCTAAATACGAAACTGAACTTTTATAATGCAATATTAACGCATGTTTACACATGGAGGCAGACATTTTGAATCTCGCTCAACGCGAGACAAAAACAAGTGAACATTATTATGTCTTCGCGTGAAACCCTGCTGTATCGCGTAAACATTAGTTGATTACTATTACTAACGAGTAACGTGTGCAACGGTTGGTGTTACCGATTACGTTTGTCCGTCATAATAATAATAATGGTCGTTGTATGTAGTGAACTGGCCTAGTAATAGTAGTATTAGTAGACTGATACGTCGTGAGTGCTGTCTTAGTGTCTAGAGTAGCCCGACCAGGCTGTGTGACTAACGTCAATAACAACACACAATATTATATATACACTACTACTAGGTCTTCTTACCCTAGCAAAGACCGTTTCTTAGAGCTATGTCTAGAGTAGAGAATGTCTCTCTGAATGCTAGCTCCAAGAAACGGTCCTACATCAATAGACTGTCTATATTGACGTTAGTCACACAGCTTGGTCGGGCTATCTGAATGCCAGTAGTACAGCTGATAGTGATAGGGTCTATGTCTCCCAGGGTACTGCCGGTGTCGCCACAGGCACTTGAAGCATTTCAACTGTAAACACACGCCGCCGCCATTGCGCGCACACTGACACATAAATATATAGTGTATTTATATCTATATATCTATATATTTATGTGTCAGTGTGCGCGCAATGGCGGCGGCGTGTGTTTACAGTTGAAATGCTTCAAGTGCCTGTGGGTGTCGCGGCACATTTCTCAGCCGGGGGGTACCCTGGTACTAAATACTACTATCTAATATGCCGGACCATACCTCGCCTACTCCACTAACGAGTCTAGGGAGTCGCCTACGCCTACTCTCTAACCATAACCCTAACCTTAACCCTAACCATATCAGCTAGATAGTTACCAGGGTACGTTCCGGTATACCGGACCGTACCCAGGATACGTTTCGGCAGTACCCTGGGGGACATCTAGACCCTATCAGCAGTAGTACACTGTACACAACAGAACCGTACTTAGCTCTAGTAACTATAGCCCGCGTACAGTTGCCGCTGGCACCTGTACCAGGTACCTGGTACCAGCGGCAACTGTACGCGGGCTATAGTTACTAGAGCTAAACCGTACTGTACTCTGAGTCTGTAGCTTACTCTAGCGCTACTACTACTAGTTAGCTACGTACTACTTTAGCTACTACTAGTTCTAGAAAACTATAGACGAGTATAGTTCTTGAAGTAGAGCCAGTCTGACAATAGTTGAAATAATTACTATTTACAAAACTATACTCGATAGCGAGTTCTGGAGTGTTGAGTGGAAAATATTTTAGATGTGTTTTTATGTCACCTGTTTTGCGAGTGTTTTTATGTTCTATGCGTTTTCTGTTAACGTCAACAACAGCTAACGTAACGATCGCTAGCCATGAGTGGGAAAGGCGTATCGTTCGTATCAGAATCTGTGATAGAAGAGAATCGGAGGAAACGACAAGAAGAATGGGATAAGGTCCGCACAGAAGATCAACCGCTAGAATGTCCAGAAGAGGAACACGATACAAGGTGGGTGCTTTCACTGTGCCACCTGGCAGGAGAAATTATACGTAACTACATGCTCTTCATCCTTAATGTTAGTTAATGTGGTTCGGCAGTGCTTTGCTAAATATAGCGAATTGCTGTAAACTGACCATTCAAAGAGCCCACACAGTCCTTGTCAATCAACGACAGGAAAAAGTCTAGGCTAGACTCAGGGCCGGACTAAGCGTGTGGGGGGCCCGGGGCACGCAATTGTGTGGTGGCCCTATAGTCTGTATTTTTTCTGCACTTTCATGCTTGCAAATTCAGAGAGTATTTCATCGTGTTTCAACGAATTTAAAATGTCACTTTCGATAGCGAGAATACTGAGGTTTACCAGTCTCTGTTGGCTCATCGTGGTTCTCATGTGATTTTTAATCAACTTGAGTTTTGAAAATGACCTTTCACCGCTACAATTGATGACCATCAATGAAAGATAGATTCTCAGAGCAATTTCGGTATTAGGGAAAGTGTCCTTCAGCTGAACAGCCAAATTCAGTCAGAGAAACAGCATGGGAAACGCATCACTTCAACGTTACATGCTAAGAATTTTGTGGATCACAATTACGACAGTTTTGTAAATTTTAGGATACTCTAAATGTGGGGGACCCCAAATGTGGGGGGCCCGGGGCACGTGCCCCTGTTGCCCCGCCCTTAATCTGCTAGTGGCTAGACTGACATTACTTCACAGCAGTTTATTGTCAGGTCATTGCCAGATTATGAGTCCATAATCTGTTTGTGGTGGCCAAGAAATTGCTCAGGCCCACAATCTGTTTTTGGTGGCTAAGAAAGCCACAAAAGTAAGACATTCAAATACTCTTATGCAACAGAGAAACGAAAGCAGATTGAGGATGTGACCCATCTAATTAAGCAGCGATTATCCTCCCTAATTAATATCATTAATTAATCCCTAATCTCCCTCTAATTAAGCACCTTTCTTTCCGCAGGACGCTGTTTGAACGCCTACAGCAACAGAAGGATAAGAAGGAGGAGGAGTTTGCAGAGCAGCATCGGATGCGCAACATGGTGAAGGGACTCGACACTGAAGAGGCTGACTTTCTTAACCACGTCGACCGACAGAAGTCGACCTTAGAGCAGCAGCGTAAGAATGAGGAGAACGAGGTTAGCCGGATATATATGTTGTTGTATTTCTAAAGTAAAGAGTGAAGAACCAACGTTTAATATATGTATATAATGCGAACAATGGATTTATTCCACCGCAGTCCAGCCTGCCACGTTGTAGAATGCCACTGGCTTCAGGGAAGTACTTGGCGCCATCTATTGGGCCCGTTATGGCCGCATTGTTACAATAATCTCACACGTGTTATCGCGGACGTAATGATAGTTAGAGAAAACGGACGTCTAAAGAGCGGAAGTTGCCTGCTCACTGCGTTTGTGTGGTAATAACTTCTAATCGTGTTCACTTTCCTTGAGGTGCTGGAAGAGTATCGAAACGCTATGCAAGAACAGATGCTAGCTGCGGCGAAGGCGCAGAGTAAGCCGCCGGAGAAGACGCTGTCGTCATTGCCTTCCGATTCGAGCAAGAGCAAGATGTCCCACCGCGCGCTGCTTGCGAGCGTCGTAAAACGAAAGAGCACGGACGGCGAGGAGGCGGACGCGAGCAAAAGGTCGCGGCAAGGTGGGTATACGCGTCGTAGCATGTACCGTAGCGTGGTGCTTGACCCTGGTTCGGTTTCTTGCTCTGATGCTCACGCAGAAAATGGACACACACAGTGATTAGAAATATTGAATTACAATGCTTGTTAACTAAAACTATCAGGAGTGTATAATATAGATTATAGACTATATTATATATATTATTAGATATCATATTATCAGATATATATATCTAATATAGTATATATATATTATTAGATATCATATTATCAGATATATAATATATCTAATATAGTATATATATATAATACAATCCGGATAGTATCACATTTGCTTTTCGTGACATGAATACTTTGCTTGAAGTGAAATCTGAAACTACATACCCGTCTCTCAGCACCAGGTGGCAGCAGCGAGCAGATAGCAACGGCGTCGGCTCTAGATAAGTCTGTCGAGGAGGCAGACACGGCGGACGCTCCTGCGGCAGTGCCGGCCGCCACCACGATGCAGTGTATCGCGCACCTGCCCGGGATAGGGCAATACCAGACGAGCAGCGACGAGGAGTCGGGGTCCAGTAGCGACGTGGACGACCACAGCCTGACGGACATTATCAGCATCATCTCGAAGCGGAGCCGCGTCGTCGCCGCCAATCACAATCATTGAGGAGGCAAGCCGAACGCGCGTGACCGCGCGAGCATGGCGAGGTCAAGGTTACAGAAGGTCGCTGATTCCGTACGGGACCCGTGAGGAATTCCTGCCTGTACTACACCATTAGGAAGAAGTCTGGGGTCTGCTGGGTGTCATACTGGGGCAAATGTTTTCTTCTCGGTAACTCCATCTTCTCAAATAGAGTAGCGCACAATTTATCATGGGTACGTTAAAGTTGAGGCAGGTGAGAGAGACATGGGTCCTAGTCCAAAAAGTATAAATTCTGGCTAAAAATTGCCGTGTAAAACGACATTGGTATTGAACAGCCTACCAGTGCTTTTTGGTTCAGTTAGATTTTCTTGATGTCAGGTACAAAAGCCAATATTTCATTCCTTACAGTTGGTCTATTGCGCTATTGATCTACATGGTTCAAATCTCGAGTGTTAACTAGACTGCTCTATCTAATCTATTCTAACGATTTGGGATCAGTCTAGTTGAAAAATTTCAATTGAAATTAATGTGTGGGCGAATTTGGGAGAGTTTAACTAAAACAAAATGTTGGTGACGGTGCATAGATAGGGTAGTTTCTGGGGTGAAACAATCTTTGTTTATGGCACAAGTCATCCCAGAGTGTTGGTCTATATTGAAATGGGATATTATGATTAGTGTGGCTAAGGAAAAGAACTGCGGATGCAAAAGTTACAAATGAGAACTGATAGATAAATAAGAACTTGCACTTTTTTTGACAGCAAATGACACACTGTGCATTTAATCAGCCAACCTAGAAGTGAATAGTGGGTACACAAGCCTGGCCGTGTTCATAAAAAAGAAATTGTATGATGAGTGATCACGTAAAGGGAGAACACTTGTGACAAGTTAATATAATAACACATAAAGGTTCTATTAGCCACGTTTGAGTGACTGTTCACAATATATTTGCATCAGCATGTTTCTCAGATCGTGTGCAGGTCAACTGCTATTGAATTTTATTCTAATGGAAACAGTCAACAATGTATGGCGTGCGGTCTTTGAGGTAATATTGTTAAGTAAACTGTTTCAGTTTGTTTAAATAACTGATTTCTTGTTATTTGTCATATGGGGAGCTCTGAAACTCGGTAATACCGGTTGATATGTAATAGAAGTTAGGGCTTCTATTCCTATAGATATATTCGTGAGTTCATGAGCTGAAGTGGACAATACAGAGAATCAAACAAAATGTTACACCATTTTTGTAATTGACAATTTTATTAAAACAGCTTAATACATTGATGGCATCTCACAATACTTGGGTAAATGGCAGCAAGAAGTTTACACCCTTATAAGGTATGTTTGTGTGTGCGTGCATGCGTGCGTGTGGGCATGTGTATATACACTGATGATCTGATTTTGCTTGAACTTGACAGCTCCATTTCCCAGTTTTGATCTCAACTCATGACCTTGTTATATAATAACATACGTCACACCAGAAATAAATTTCCATATTGGAAATAAATTTTAAATACTAGAACACACTACCTATCCGTATGCTCATAATAGTATTTACATAATCACACACTAACACGATATCAGCCCATGATCGGCAGTCTTCAATCTTTTTCTAAATGCAAAGAACATACGTTGCGTGATTTTCCTTGGGAAAATTACATTTTCTAGTATATTTATCTTGCTGACAATAAGCACGTGCTAAACATGGCGCAACATGGGTGGGAGATGATTGAAATGGCAAAAGAACACGAGCAAGCGTCTGCAGTATAAATATATTAAGTACGTTATATATTTAGAACGTTACTAGTCTCTAGTATCAAAGTACACAGGAGTAATTACACTTCCAGTAGCTGCAACAAAATGCAAGTTTCTTTTGGCAAATAATATGAACTGATGAAACGCATTAATCATTCTATAAATTATACTAATAGACCAAACGTTAACGTAATGTGTTGTACCAATGTGCCGCAAAATTATTGACTTCTAATCAATCATGCTAGGATTTAAAAAAAAAAAGCACCATAAGCATAGCATGATCATATAAACGCTACAGGTATCTATATTAGTAAAAAAGGCCCATTAGGTAAAAATAGCTGAGACATATGATCTGTTTTAAAATATATCAATGGGATTCAGCATATATATACTGAAAATTGGGAGACCCTCACTAAAATTACTGACAGCAAACCTCTGGAACTTGGAATAAAATACCCTGTTGGTTCACAGACCGAAAAAAAAAAAAAACGAAGCTTTGAGGTAATGAGAATCTCTACTTGACCACTATACCCACTGCAATTATGATAGCTAATACGCAGCCATCATGATGTAAGAAAACAGATTTAGGGACACCAATTTCTCTCGATTTTTACGCACCTTCAAAATCTTGATCATCGTAATTAGTCTCGGTAGTAATTAGTCGTAACTAGTGTGTTAATTAATAACCGATCACTGGTTTACAAGGTTTGGCTACAAAACCTTCAGCACAATGATTGACAACGCTCATCCATTTTGATGACAACTCTACATACATGCTACAAAGACAGGTTACCTGAAACGAACAACAGTGCAGGTACACACATCATAAAAACTTTTGACGTTTTTTTGACTAACAGTTTGCAGTCTGGCAGCAAATCGTTCACATTTCGATATAGTAGGGTAATATATATATATATATATATATATATATATATATATATATATATAATATATATATATATATATATATATATATGCCTAGTCATTTCTGCATACAAATACTACCACACAATAAATGCAGTATCGATCAGTAACCGAAGTGTATTCGAATTTCGAATTTAAGCACATTTTAACACAGCAACAAACATCAGTGTCCAGGCAAGTACCATAGTCAAAAATGCAAACATAAAAGAAATACCGACATCACACATACTTTCTTGCGAGTGACGGATGCCACTATTTAACAGCACCCAGAACGCGCCAACAGAAATAATTACACCAATAGCACATGTAAAATACGATGGGGGGGGGGTAATGCCAAACGCAACACGCTACTTCAGACACAGCCAATCAACTATGAGTTCAATCTGCCGTGACGTCACCGGGGCGGCGATGCAGTTGGACACCAGGGTGCAGCACGGTAGCAGCGCTCGGATGACGCGACTACGATCCCAAGGTGAGCACGTCGAAACAGATGCTGCACGCTCGAACCGGCTTAGTCTGGTCGAACTTGAGGATCGGAATAACCTTGCTTGAGCACTTGTTGCAAAGCAGACGACCGCAGTGACGACTGAAACCAGTAGGTGACAGTTACAATGGCATTCTGAACATACTCGAGCGGAGCATTCAGAGCCAAAAACATCATCATTCATTCACAACACTCCAAAAAAATCTTTAAACTAAGGTAAACATAAAGTAAATGACCAGACCAATAATTGCATTCAGTAAAATCTCTAACAGAGCAATAACTTGTGACGGTGTTGACTGTTAATCGAATTGCACTTACCAGTGGTGTTTTCTGTTTGCTATTCTAAACTTTACACCGCATTCGTTGCAGTTTTCCCCCTCAGTCCATGGTGGTTCCCTAGAGAGCAAGTCTGAATAAAAAAATTATTCACGATTGGAAAGTTGGCTCACATTTATAAAAACATTTATACACATTTACAGTGATGCTTTTAGGCACAAAATTGCAGTAGACTGGGTGTCAACAGGGATATAGGCCCTGAACCAAAGTAAACAGGCTCTGTAAGAGTAGCATCGTAACACCTGCACTACGCAAACTAATTTATAATATTGTAACGTTGTATACCAATCAACACACACACTTAACATTCCTCTAAGACATTCGTTAACAAAGATAACTCACCTAGAAGTCTGAATAGTAGCTGTTTCGTGGCAACCTGAGCATTAAAGATGGACACGCCCTGTTTGTTTGTGTTTCCTAGCTGAGCGCCGGCGCGTACTAATGCCTTACACAAGTTCACGTTCCCATTCAGATAGGCCAGCAGCAACACTGCAAAATAGACAGCAATTACAGAAAGTATATTTCACAACCTTATCAATCATTATTGATGAGTTGACTGTACTAAAATTTATCTTGTTTGCATTTCCATTCAGATAGGCCAGGAGCAACACTGTAAAATAGACAGGAATCCCAGAAAGTATATTTCACAACCTTATCAATCATTATTGATGAGTTGACTGTACTAAAATTTATCTTGTTTGCATTTCCATTCAGATAGGCCAGGAGCAACACTGTAAAATAGACAGGAATCCCAGAAAGTATATTTCACAACCATCTATCACAGTCCAGGAGGTTGTAGAAAATAGTAACCGTAATTTTCAGTTACAGTAAATTGTTACTGGTAACAGTGTACAGTAACCTTGTCGAGCTATCTTCTTTCCTGCACAGGTGTGCACTACTAGCATATGTTAGTTATGAAGTGTACCTGCTCATTATGTACCACATCAAGTATGGCAGTATCATTATTTATGAGTTGACTGTACTTAAATTGATCCTATATATCAGTGACAGCATACCAGTATTTCCTTCGACGTCCGGTTTGTCCAGCTGATACTCGGGCATACATTCCATGAAGAGATCGAAAATGGCGGCAGCGTTCTCCTTGCCGTACCGACCCAGCATGTGCATCGGCGTCTGACCCCTTGCGCAGAAAACGAACAGAGAATATGAGAGAATAATTATTACGCGATACCCGCTCGCCATATCCGTGCCACCGTCAAATTACATTTACGTAAAAATTAAGTTACATGTTTCATCTGAGCTGCTTAATCACATCGATGCATTAATCTGATTAATTAATTAATTGATTGATTAATTAATGATTAATCACATCGATGCATGTCTCTTTGTGGGTCGCAATGCATGACGTTTATTAAAGTGATTACGTCACCATAAATAGTAAAAGTAAAAAAAATATTTTCACTTTTTCACAAAATTTAAATAATTCGGTTAACTTTTTATGGTTAAATTGCTGCATTATACTTCCTATTTTGCTATATTGTTCGATGTAAACCTACACTCGTTACTCATACATAGCCCATTGCAAGCAATTAATGTCAGGATCATAACATCAAATCGTCCAGGTCTTTTTGGATTTCTAACTAGTTGTGAAACAATCTTATCAGGTAAAGATTTGACAATACATTTAGTCCCGGATTAGTATTTACTTTTACTGTAAAAAAATAGCAGCAAAATTTTTACAATATACACCGTATAAAATTCGTGACGTAGTCAATTTAAACGACAATGTTTTTATCACCATTCATAGTTTTAAACAGTGGTTGTAGCAGACGCTCGGCTTACCTCATGTTAATGACCTCGGCATTGATTCGCGACTCGGTGAGCAGGATGCGAACACAACCCAAGTTGCCCTTCTGGGCTGCGATATGTAATGCTGAAAGAAAAGCGTATGAGATGATTGATATTACGAATGGCAACAGCTACAGTCAACAACCCCATTGCAGAAAACGAAACCACTGTGTTCAGGCAGGAAACAAGCTTCACATGGATTCAGGATTTAAGGTGTGAAATGTAGCCGAAGAAAAAGAAAAAGAAAATCGTAGATGTGTAGTAAATCAAAAACTTGTTCCAATTGCTTCGTTCAGCAGTAAACAACAGTAACAAGTTTGCAGCTTCTTAAACAATTGCTACCACTCGAAAACACTGAGGAGGCTATCTATCAGTGTACTTGGCACTCAGCGTGGCCTATCGTTGGCACATTACCAAGAATTTAACCTCGCAGGAAGCGTACCGTTGTTGAGATTGTCGTCGACGGCATTGTAGTCGATCTTGTTTTCGATGAGGACCGCACAGATCGTCTGTTGGTCGTGAGCCGCTGCCAGATGGAGCGCCGTCTGCTTCTGGTGAGTGACGTCATCGATGTTAGCAAAGGCCAGCAGCTGTAACCATGGTAACGACACTATTGATAGTCTGCTCTTGGCTCGTCTTTTTTTATCCCTGCAGGTGTGCAGGACGCTGACTTCTGCCACACCTCAGACTTGCTCTAGAATCTCACGTCCCTCATCGACCAACGCCAAGGGCTTCGGTTTGTTTATGAATTTTGTGGATATTGTCTGAATAACAATCATTTACCAGGTCCCGTATTATCGGTAGAAATCTTAATGCATCCGTGAACGATTATTCTGAAGAAAATGTTCCATGTCATTTATAATCAGGAATTGTTACAGGATTGTCGTAATTTAAGTATCTATATTTTACAGTGTTGCAGTCCGCTGTTTTATAATCAGCCTTTGTAATGCGCACGTGAACATATCTGCATGTAACGTGCACAATATAAATCAATAAATATTAAATATTATCAGGAGTGTATCAAAAGGAGTAAGACAGACTAAAACCGGCAAAATTCAACATTTAGTAGCCTTAGTCTACCTGTGATTTATTGTGTTTACCTCGATAAACTTGAGCTCAAGTATTGCCTTAATCATTAAACTTTATCCGTGTCTAATCGTTGGTCTCATAAAAATGACAAATCCGGAGATATCGGTTCAAATGTGGTTTTATCAATTTATACCGCATTGTTATGATCTGTGAACCGAAACAAAGGGCTATGTTTTCCCTAAGCCCTCTATCGCAGCGCATGCAAACAACTAGCGAGGTTCGCCAGGGATTTCGGAAAGTTAAACACAACTAGGTGTTATCTATAGGCCATGTCGAATGACACTAATGACATGTTAT